TTGCTAGCTCTTGGTAACAGAGTTCCCCCCCCCTCACACACACACACTCACAGACACACACACACACACGCGCACACACACACACACATCTCCTGGCATGGCAAGCGCGCGCAAGATGCTGGAGGGCATTTTGCTGGAACTGAACTGTCGAGGACGCCAGGCAGGAAGTATTGGCATACTGAACTACAAGAGCATTAATTCGGCACCCCAACAAGACATAGCGGTGAGAAGAGGTTTCAACTGCCCTTCTTGATAGACCATTGGAGACAATGCTAAGCTGCAGTTGCAGTTCTGTTGTACTCCATGTGGAAACAAACGTTGCATGCACACAGCTGAATTGGACCGGAGTGCCGCTTTGCGCGATAATCCAAAGGTGGTCGTCCGACGCTTGCCGCGCGCCCTTGGCAATGCCAGCAAATACGCCCCTGCCGTCGACAGCGACGCTGACCATGCTTTCTTCGAAAACCACTTCAAACACGTGCCATCCTCTACTTCGGTGGAGACATGCAGGACTTCCTTGTGTCACATTTTGCGTGCCAGGTAAAGCGCCCGGGCAAGTTCCATTTGCGACCATGTACTGGTGCGATGTAGTTGACACTCCAACGGCGCAAGTGCCATGCTTGCTTGCAATACCGAACCAATGCGCTGACTCTTCGCCCTCGTCGTGAAAGAATATCCGGATGTACAGCTGCCTCCCTGTACACGGCTGTATTGATGCGAACCGTCTCCTTAAGGCCAACCTGCATGACAAACTGAAACACACAAGCTCTTCGTTCGGCACTACCGTCTTCCTGCCACACAAAAATCAAAATCCTGGCCTCCCATTGCATGGGTCCAGCTTCAATGCTCGACCGGCTGGCTTCTGGTCTCCCACACTCTGTGCGGGCAATATGGAAACTGACCTGGCGGCAGCCTCGACGTCAAAGAACGCGACCCACGAGCCTGTTGCTGTGCCTCAACAAACTGTGAACCATTTTTCGGCAAGATTGCATCGTATTGCCAAGGCACTGGGGTTCAAACTAACCGATCTGTCTGGATCTCCGACTCTCGAACATTAAGCCCTGCCTCCCCGCCCCCTGCGGCAAATCAAAATGCAGAGTACAATTGAACGCATCATGCACTCAAACCGTGCCGTCACGGGCAGCCACAACTCATGACAATTAGGACTTCTCGGCTTGAAGCTCATGTCTCCGACCAGGCCAGCTCGACAAACTGAATTCGCGCACCGTTGTTGTTTATGACCCGCGCTGTTGTGCTGTGTGCCGAAACCTGAAGGATGCGGGTACAAGCGAGCCAAGTTTGGTCACTACAGCTACGACTCGCCGCATGCCAGGCCAGGCCTAGCACAGCTTCGTGATTCGCCACTGCCGACCCTTTGTGCATACTCTGTGGTGGGTGCGCGGGAAAACAGAAACCCCTACCTGATTGAGACAGTTCGACCCTCTTGACGCACTTGACCCTGCCTTCTGCGTGCCACCACGTTTTGCCACGCTTGAACCCTGCCACGTGCCACTTGAACCCTAACCCTGTGAGCCCCAAACCCCGAGCCCTAAATGCATCAAGACTTGTGCAATCATGTGCAATCGCCTAGCATTGACCTGCAGAAGCGACTCTAAACTCCTTTTCACCCAACCCTAAACCAGTAACCAAGCAGGTCAAGTGCGTCAAGTGTGCCAAGTTTGTCAAAGTGGTATACTTGATTGTAAACGATTACGCCATGCATCCTTCACTTGTATCAAGTGTGCCGTTCGCTTTGGCTGCTCTCGAATCCAAGGATATCCAAGGGCAACGCAAGGATGTTTGCACCCCGGTCACTCCACTGGAATGTGTTTCATCTTCTCAGCGTTTTTCGGTCTCTGCCGGTCCTGGCACTGCCAAGATGCCACTGGCACTGAAAAAATCTGCGAGGATGAGGCATTGCTCTGGGCATCTGCAGGGCACTGCCGCCGCACTTTCCAGATGCCTGCAACGTTAGGAATGCTGTGCCTACACATGCATGCGTGGATTCGACGGGGCGGGCTAAGCGAGACAACATAATTTTTACAGTGTCTTGCTTATCCGCAGGCAGCAGTCCCCGAACACAGGTAGCAAACAACATGCAGCTCTCGCATCATACCATCATGAATTCGAACAAGAGATGGTGCAGCCTTCTGTGTGGACTGTCCGGGGTTGTTGACACGCTGGCGAGCTTGCTCGCCGTGTAAAGGTAAATCGTGCCTTGCAATCAATCAATACTCCGCGGATGCTCTAGTTCGAGTCGGTAGCTGCAGCATTCTCAATCTCTACTAGGCCCGCCGCGTCCCGCTTCATCGTCAGATCCAAGTGAAATTTGTAGCCAAAGAATCTGAACCCTGCTATCCTTGAGGAACTCATCTTCACAATAGCTCAATATCTGGCCGGAACTATCCTGGGTTGGAGCACATCAGGAGAACATAAACCAAGAGTTGCAGGTTGCACGGCTCCACATGTGCCTGTTCAACAGCGCATACAGCGCAAAAGGCAGGTTACCCGCCGCAAAATCGAACAAGCTTGTACCCAGAGATAGTGGCACGTTGCTCAGATCCGGTTCTACATCGGCATTAATCGAATAACAGACAGCAGATCTGGGTGCAGCCATGTTTCAGTGATGAGCAAGGCCTTTGCATCTTGCCGGGGGACCACCAACGGTACGTCGGAATGCCCGGAAGGAAGCGCACATGTTAGGACCAGCTCTTGTCGCCGCACCCACCTCGAAACTCGAAACAACAAGGCTTCCCTGAGCAACGACAACCTGATAACCACACATTCCTCGTTCGATGTCATGGGGGACATGTGTGTGGTTTTTGCATAGGCGGGTTCAAGGACGCAAGGGAAAGCCTACACTCTCTTCCCAACTGCTTCCAAGTTTCGCCGGCATGCTGCCACGTGCACGAAAGCAGCAATTCAACAGTCAGGTGCGCATGCCTCTAGACGCGTCAGAGCTAGGCGGACCTAGAAGCCGCGTCTTCTGGCGCAACATATCGCAGCATGTGCACTTTCAGATCTGCCTGCCGATAGCTCTACAAGAGTTTAACTGTCTGCATTCAGTTGTGTATCTGTAATCGTTGGCTCTGTGCAGTGGCGTGTCACATGCTTTGGCAAGCCATTGCGGTATTCTGGATTTGGACTGTCACGGACAAAAGCCGTTAGGTAGTCCTTCTTTCTGGTGGAATGCTCCAGTGCCGCCACATGCTTTCCTACTGTGCTATGTGACAACAACATAATTGCCAAACCACCTGGGGCCGAGAATGCAGCGACCAATCTTGCAAGCTGTGGGGAAAGGAGCTTCGCAGTTATACTCTGTTACAGTCTGAGGTGTGTGAGTCGTTGTTGGGAGTCTGCGTACTCTCTGACCGCGTTGTTGGTTGTGGTTGTTGATCCACACCCAGGGACATGCTGCAAATTTTGGAATCAGATGTCTTCGAACCCCAAAGCCGTGTCTGAGTAAACCGAAGAGAGCGAGCCAAGACGCTACGTTCATTAGTTCAGAGTGTAGAGCGTAGACCATGGCTTATGCTGTTTCCTCTCGCAGAAATGAGGTTTTCTCATGCCAGCGACACATGGTAGCGCGACGCAACACGAAACGGTATCGTGAGCTGCACTGTGGCTTAATGCTTGTGCCGACATTAACTGCTGATAGAAAGGCGTGTGTTTCGGAAAGCGTCAAGGCCAAATTAAAGTACGGCGTCGCTCTGTACTGTACAGTAACATACACCCTACACCGCAGCTGACTTCTCTGAGTCGAGATGCGTGTCGCAGGTACGAGGCAAAAGTAGCTGTTGCAGTATCAGGGCGCATCTGCCTTCCACAACCAAGCCTCAACGCATCTGTTGCTGATCGGGCTTCTTCATACTCTTCAGCTCTGTTTCCTTGTACACCTGCATCATATAACAGCAGCTGCAGAAGATGGAGCAGCAAGAGGCTTTCATACACCCTTCTTCAAAACTGGCCCTCTGCGCCACTGCAGTGGACATAGATGCGAGGCAACATGGCTCTACAATGCATCCACAACAACAGCCGCCAACAAAGCCACAAGGCCCCTCCAGTCTTTCGTTGATGTCCCCCAGAACTGTGCAAGGGCAAAGCGAGGCTCGAACACAAAGGCCGACTCCTCCGGGTTGCCCACAGCAATCGAAAAGCCCTGTAGACCAAGAGGCCATGGTATCGTCGTCCGGGTTTGTACACGGACAAGTCTCCTAGCCTAGCTTCCTGGAAAGCCGAATGTGACTCGGAAACCAACAAAAGGACTCGAAAAGCTGCTGCACTCTTGCCCCACCCAGCCATGCATTGGTCAATTCCCCGCATTCCCCGCAACTCATTCAAGCGTTGCCTGCATATTTTGATCATCCGCGCCTTGCTGCCTCACTCTGTTCCGCGCGCAGTCGCACCACACCGGCACTGCACCCGCAAATTGCTTTGACTTTGACGCACTTCCGTAAAGATTCTCAGTCTTTTGCAGGCTAGAGAATTGAAACATGGCTTTGCCTCTCACACCCGAGTAGCTGACTGACATGCAGTTGACGGGACTTGTTGTAAGCGTCGTTCGCGACCGTGTGTGGGCGTCCATCAGAAGTAGAAGTGACGCGCGCAACGCATTGCCACCGTCTTTCAACCTATTCTGGGTGTTGCTCTGCCCTGTCGTGTTGCACATCGCCACGGAGTTGTTGCAGGAACGTGCTGGGCCTTGCCCAGCCTTCGCTGGGGTGGTCTTGTTGGTGTCATACAGGTCGAAGACAAATTCAACCACGTTCACCTGCAGCCGACGAATCATCAGTCGATGGCCCATCTGTGCAGATTCTGCAGCACGGCTTGGAGATCCTCGGTAATGTCGGCCTTGCTCAGGAACGGAGCGCCCTCGACGTCGACAAGCTGAATGCTGTGGCAATGGAGGAACAATCGCGGACAAAAGGGCACCGACGTCTCGGATCGCTTGCCATAGGTAAAGTCACCAACAAGAGGTCGGCCTAGACTGGCCATGTGCACGCGTATTTGGTGTGTCCGGCCCGTGCGTGGTCTCACGCTCAGAAACATTACTTCGTCCTCGGGCGCTTGTTGAAGTTCGGGAAATCGGAAACGCCTTCGAACTTCGTACTCGGTGAAAGCTTGGCGGCCGTACTCTGAGACTTCGCTGCGGCTCACCAAGCCACCCTCACCTCCCTCGACCTCTGAAGTCAGCAATGGCATATCGACTTCACCACGCACGCCAACTTCACCCAAGGATGGCCCCTCACATAAGCAGTAGTACTCCTTTCTCACGAGTCCGGCCGCAAACTGCGACCGGAACCAATTTGTTTGAAGGGAACCTTCAGCGCCCACGACAAGCGGCAGGACACCAGAGGTAGGGTAGTCCAGCCTGGGGAATGAGATGCAAGACTGCTACATCATCAGGCTTTCATCAAGCGTAGGCAGAAATTGCTGGGACCGACTGTGCCTGGAGACTATTGACAAGGCCGTGCCGACAGGAGCACGCTGGCGTAGAGACTCCACGAAGTCTTGAGTGGTAACCTTCCCGTGACAGCAGAACTCAGCGCTTCCTTGCACGCTGGCATACGTGGGCATCTTCAAACTTGGAGGTGCGCATGTGCAGGCTTCAAGACCGCTACAATGCCGGGCCCTTTCCGAAGCACCTGGCATCATGGAGAACTGGATTCCCGCGGCTTGCATCCGAAGTCTTTTTTTGAAACCTGCCTCCGGACCGTCCGAGATTCTGCTTTCTCCATCGGGTTCCCAAAGGCTGCGCAGGTTTCGCAAGAAGGCGAAGGCATAGTCCTCGCCTATGCTGCGCACGTGAAAGACGAATGAAGTACAGGCTTGCGGGCCTACGTTTTGGGACTGGGCCTTTGCAGGCTCGCAGTGTACTCGTCGCACATCCTGCTCAAACTTCCGTGCATGACATTTACTCAATGTACTCACCTCCGAAGTCTTTACACAACTCTTGCTGCCTGCATAGACGGCATCTGGCACCAGTCGGTGCCGCAGCATCAGCGGCAAAATTGCCATCACGTCCTGCAGGGTCGTTATCCGTGGGCAAAATGCGACAGACGCCTGTGCTTGATCCCGGTAGGGTGCGTCGTGCCTGCCAAGCACCTGCCTGCTGGCAGGCAAGCGCCGGCGGGATGAATGTGACATCCTCGAACCCCGGAATCCGCAAATCATGGCATGAGCCCAGAATAGCCATTTCACAGAAAGCTTTCAGGCCAAAGCAACTAAATGTTCCGAGCCGCGTCAGGCGAGACGTGCTCTGAACGCATTGTCGTCAAAAGCGAGAAAGCCAAGGCTCTCTCGCTACCTGGGAACTCTCGACCGGATGCCACTGTAAGCTTACGAACAAATTGCACCCGGCTGTGAGGCAGCCTCTTGCAAATGCCCCTATCAAGGCATTGTAAGTGATCACGTCAGGCTGGATCTCTTGCGACAACATCCTTTCGTTGAGCAAGAATCCGCACAAACTGGCATGCTGCTTCTGTCAAGACTTGCGCGAAAACGAACGATTCTGTCAGCCTCTCGAAGAAGTGGATGGCCGTTTGCCATTTTACATCGCACGTGTTGATAAGCGCGTTGTAGCTGACAACGCTGGGCTCGGCCACCCCCTGGCTGCTTCACGGTCTGAACAAGCACGGTGGAGCTTCATCCTTACCCCTCACAAGTTTGCAGCCTCTTCCATCTCGTAGAAGAGCTTCATCGCTGCTAACCATTCGCTGCCCTTCTCGCAAGCGGCGATTGCGGCCGTAAAGCCTCGCTGCTAGGAAACAACCCCGGGGTGAACAGGCTTCAAAAGGATTCAAGTCCGGCCGAAGCGGCTGATGGTATCGGGTACCACAGCACGTGCCTGCATCCCATGCAGGCACGCCAGTGCCATTGGCCAGCGTGCGCCACAAGCAGCCAGAAGTGCGTTGAAGGTCGACGTCTCGGGGAACAAGCCAACTGCCGAAAGTGCGTTCCTCGAAGCTTGCATGGCATCACTCCAACCACTCTGCTTAGCCCATCAGGCCTCCAGAACTAGACCCTAGTGCGAAATGAATATTCTGGATATAACAGAATGAATTAATTGTGTCGAAGGCAGCTCGGTATCTCCCATATCTTTCTTACTTAGCCGAGTTTCAAAAGATGAACCGCCAGCTGCCACTGGCCTTCTTCTCTGCAAGACAATATTGCGGCATTGAATGAAACCAAGTCAGGCACCAACCAAGACGAGCCCATCTCGAACAGAAGACCTGCACACAAGTTGCAGGTACTCTTCCCGTCCGAGCATCAGCCGATGCATGACAGCACGAGTGAGGATGCGTTTCACTGGACTGCCCAGCATAAGGCTTTTGACCTCCGCTTCTGTGACGTTAGTTGGTTTTCGCAAGCCAGCATGCTGTTGTTCGCAGCTGGCAGCCGTGGGCCTATGGCCGACTGCCACTGGCCGCTTCTTTCACAAGCGCTGATTGCGGCATTGTAGCCTGCAGCACCACGACCAAAGCAGCACGTTGTGACAAAGCAAGGTCCTACCTTCAGCTTCCAATCAAAGTAATCAGTTCGGTTCGACTGTCTGTATGGTGTCCAATGTGATAACTAAGCTTCAAGCCTGGTTTTGCGCGCGAATCCCAAACATGGGCTGATTCCTGGTGAAGCTTGGCAGCCTCATGTGGACCAGTGTCATGACGCAGTCCCAACGGGTGACCAATCACACAGCGGAAAGCTGAATACGACGGGAGAAACCAACATCTGCGACACGAGGTCGATGGCTGACTGCCAGCTGCTTCCACATGCAGCGATCGCAGCACCGAAAGTGACCATGTCAGGCTGGAGCCTTTCTGCTGCCATTCTCCTTACTGTCGTCCCGACATCAGAAAAGCATACTTGCTTTTACACCTGGGAGCAAAATGCACCTGGCCTCAGCAAGCCCAAAGCCAACTGCCAGTCGCTTCCCTTCTTGCAGGCGCTGAGTGTGGCATTGAAACCTTCGCTGGATTGGAGGAATCCGGACTTCGGCTATGGACCGTCTGTGGAAATATTATGTGTTCAAGAGTTCAGCATGCCGCAAAGACTAGCCAGATCAAGCAACCAACGAGCTACATCCTTTGTAATTGCTGGATTTCTCGTTCGATCCTGCACATTCCTGCGCTCGACGGGCACCAGGGCCAATGCTTTGGAGCTGACAGTCCGATGCAATTGTGAAGCGTGCTCTGCAGCCGTGGAGGACTGTAGCCAGCACTACTGGAACATACTAGAACATGGTGCCGCTGGCTGTCTTTATTTGGAGTTTGCGGAGCACAGGAGCGACACGTCCTCTTGTTTCCTGATTAACCTTGCCACGACGGCTCCAGTAAATGGCCTTTTGTTTGCATGGCATCTGCGGCTCCAACCGCAGGAACTGTTTATGTTCTCCTTCCCTAGCAGGCGGAGAGTGGATTTCGCAGACGGTGCGCGAGTATGCCTTGATCGCAGGTAGTGGACACTGTGCCATGGCCATGCCATTGTCGGGGTATACTCGCACACAGACAGCGTATGACAGCGTAAGCTGCACCCGTGTTGTCAGATCTCCCTACTGTACCTGTGCCTTCTGCAGCCACGGCACTCACAATGCCAGGCGAAACTCTTGCTAGCTGCATCTGGCTCAAAAGCAACACCGCGCGCTGCCACTCGCCTCCTGCCATCTTATGTCACGTGGGTCATGCCTCCTGACAGTGCATCAACATGCTAATGCCTGTGTCACAAGCAGTGATGGCCGCGTTCCAAGCAATCTCCTGCAAATGGGAACTAGAAGGATGCATGTGTTGGGTGACTCGAAGTCGCTTGTGGAATGGAGATACATGCAGCAGGTGCGAGCCTTATGAGCCTTGTTGGAAATGCCGGCACTCAAGGGCACAGAACGCTGCTCATGCCGAATACTTGCAAACAGCATAGCGGAGGTCCGTGGGTTGGGCTGCCAGCTCGGGGCGCTGCAACAGGGACATCGCCAGGGCCCAGTCGCCACATCGTCCGGCCGCAGAGATGACAGAACCTGGAGATCACGTAGAGTAGCTGCAGACTGGGAATTAGTTTCAACCTGGCAGATGGTGCGATCGTATCCCACCTACGTATGGACTATGGATTCTTGCTTGGTTTTTGTTCTTCAGCTAGCTTCCCGTGCACTGCCTCAATTTGCTCACCTGCTCTACCGCGCAGTGCTAGGCTTTTAGACCAGCAAATCTTGTCGTTCTTGGGTCCTCATGAACTCGTTATCTTTCTTGAGAACCTGCCTCTTCTGTTATCTATTGTCTAAATTACAGCCCCAGCTGGCTGGCAGAAACAGCATGCATAAAGTAGGACCTCAAAGAGCTCAGGACACGGAGAAAGAGCAGAAAGCAATGTGCAGAAACCCAGATACAGTTCAGTCAGTACACGAAGTGAGCATGACAACCACGATAGGCAGCACAGGTTGGTACAAGTACATCGACAAGAGACGGCAGCCAAGCGAGACTCCGGTAGACGGTACATGGCATAGCATCCGGACAGGATGGCAAGACAGGCAATGAGGCAAGAAGGAGAAGGGGCTCGAAGGAAAAGGCACCACTACAGGCCAAAAACGGTGAAGAAACAGGGCTCGGTCGCCCGGCCCGGCAATTGCAGTATGTTCGGGTGCAACCTTCCGTAGCAATAACTATTCCAAGAGTTGCAAACGAATCCACTTTGTCCAGACGTTTGCACCTTCAAGCCACTCACGACTGGGCCACTGGCTGACGTGGAATGAATTTACTTCAGCTTGTTGTGAAAGCCTTGGATATGTGTCTCTAAAGCATCATTTTCACTATTGCCACCGACAGGACATGACCACCCAGCTGCATAGCTGCAAGCACCTGGGTCGCGGCTCCCGGCAACCTTTCGATCTTCCGCAAGTGAGAGGCAGTTTAGGACAAGAAAATGTCTCGGCACATGTCATTCCCATTCTGCCAGAGAGCTTCTTTTTTGCCAGCGCACTTAGCACAACTGTCGCCTGACAAGGTGGGGAGGGAACATGGTCCCCAGAAGGTCTTTGCAGACACTTTGGGATGGGATCATTTCACAGACCGACCTCTCGTTAAAGAACCGTCTCCTGCTCTCCGCCTCATATCGTTTGAGCAACCTCTGACAGAAAGAGGCCTTCTTAGGATTCTCCACCCAGCTTGGCAACACGGGTTCCAGGACTCGGAGCACCTCGGCCAGTGATGCATCCGCCTGTGATTCTGCGCCCCAAGGTCCTCTCCAAGCCGGTGGCTTGCTCGGAAGATGGATGTCTACCCAGTCTCTCGAGGAGATCTTCCACTTTGGTCGTGCGGAGCTTGCGTTGACCTGGCACCCCAGGAAGCTTGTTCCGACTCCGGCTTTTTAACCATGCAGCGACCTGGACTGCAGGAAGACGTCGATGGGCAGTCCACAATGTATGCCATGCCATGTCCTTCTTCGCGGCAAAGGCTGTCGTCCGACACAATGCAGATGCCTCTCGAACCAGCCTGTGGAAAAAGCTGCAGCTTCAGACAGCGATTCATGCGTACGGTACTGATCGGGTAGTGGGGCCGTAGTCTCAACACTCTCAAACCATCGCCTGTGTGATGCCGGAAGTGTTTTTTTCCGCACTTGCCGCCCTCTCTTGAAGGCATAAGCAACGGGATAAGCAATCAGCCCAGACCTTTGCACGACTGGAAAAGAAGATCACAAGTGAATTGGGCACCAAAGGCCATCTGCCGACTGCAGCCTCAGAAGCAGATATCCTGTGTGCCGACATGGATCAAAACTCAAACGAATTTGCATGTGAGACCAAAGCTGGCCGGTCCAAGAGATGCTGCACTAAACTGGCAGCGATCAATGGCACGAGACAGTTTAGAGATGTTTAGACTCTTAGACAGTTCAGGCGCTCCAATGAGTGCCTCCAAGCTGAGACAGCTCCAGCGTGCCAAACTGTGCACAGACTGACTGCTCCGTGACCAGCAGAGGCGAGGGCTTGGCCAGCCTCTGCCCGTGACGCTGCAGATGCAGACATGTGCCGACTAAGCTCCGCAAGGAGGGAAAACGATATTTCGATATTGATAGAGCTGCAAGAGGCCACCTTTTCGTGAATTAGGAAAACCGACACCTCGAGAATTTCAGTCATCGAGCGTGTCATTGGCCGGAGCCCTGCGAACGGGATGTGCTGAGAGCGGATTCGCCGGAGGCCCATGCGACATGTATGACACCACACCTCCACCACAGTAGATGCCTCCTTCCCACTGAGTCTGCGCGCCCGAGGTCCCACGATGCCAGAAGCTGGCACGTTGAACTTGGCCTTGGTTTCAGACCACAATCTTGATGCGCATGTGCCCGGTTAAACGACATCAGCATGTCTAAGCCTCCCGCCCGTTCGAGTTCCAGTGGGATGAAGGTGTGCTCATCGGGATAAGTGTCGCAAGTCGACTCGGAGCATCAATGTTGGGCTGTTGACATGCACTTCTCGACATGCTTCTAGGTGTGAGAGCCGGAATACTGCTTGTCCAAGCGGCAATGGTCGATAAAGTTGATAGTAAATCAACATCCGGAACATCCATGGTCTTGTGGCGCAAGATGCCACGCATGGCAAGCTCTTTGGCCAGACCTTCTTTGACCTGACTTGCGTTGCAGCAGAAGGCACCCCACTGTGCCAGAAAGCTTTTCTGATGCGCAGATACCAAGCGAGACGCTTTATGATAGTGGTCAAGAACTTCAGGTGCACCTGGTATAGGCAAAATACACGTACCAACATAATCATTGAATATCATTGAGCAGACATGCGTGCACTTGCGCGCGTGTTCCCTGACCTCCCGCAGCAATCCGGCTTGACAAGCTTGCAATCTGGCGCTGGATCGTCTTCTTTTCTGCATCACCATCCTCTGGTTCAGCAGGCATGGAAATCATTTCGTAGTCGTCGGCGTCCGGATCGTAGTCAGAATTCTTGCAGGCAGCAAGATGTCGACGATGAGAGAAGTCGTCCTGTCGATGACACATGGTTGTCCATGACTGTAAGGGGTCCGAGGAACGATCTCAGTACAAACACTACAAGGAAGAATGTGTGAATCGCTGAGAGCAGCTCCCTTTAGATCCATCAGCTTTTCGAAAACTCTCTCCTCGGCACCATGGTCCGAGAATGAAAGTTCGAGGTCGTCCTCCTGAAACAACTCATGCAGCTCCTGGCACAGCGTGAAGAACATGGCGACAAAATTGAGGCAAATGCCGGAGGCTACCTGCCCTAATCGGTGAGACCTGGTTCGAGCCAGAGTCGGATATCATCACCCCATCGTTTTCTACAAGACTCCCCACGGCCCTTATTGAGCGACGGCAGTATCATCGTCCCTGGTGGAATCTTATGGGCATGCCGGAGCCCTGCAGCGTCACCCCACAGCCCTCACACATGAAGAAACCATTTTGTTTTGAAGCAAGGCTCTGCAACTATGCCTGCCCCTCCACGCCTGATATCATGTAGAACCCATTTGTTTTGCTTCGGGGCTCCATCATCCCACCCGCAATCAAGCCCTGAACAGCACGAGCCCTTCGTAGATTGGCCTGGCAAATACTGAAACTTGCATAAGATGTCATGAAACAAGGTCGGATTCGGTTGGGCGACACTGGGTTCCAATGACAAAACTCTTGCACTACCCCGGCATCCATCATCAATGGCAGAGAGTGCGGGGTATGTTCTTGCGTCCTGCCGACTGTTACTAAGTAGTCGGTGCCAAATTTCTCCATCAACCGTTCGACTACGATGGCAGCGACCTAGACAGGTCGTTTGAGTGCTTTCAGGGTTTAGTCAGTTTAGTCTTTGGCTCCAGCTTCCGGGTCCCTTTATGGGGCAAGTTTAATAGGCACGCGCATTCGGCTTTTCCTGCGGACTGCGGAATCGTAGTCTGCTTGAGGTGGAGCGGCGATTTTTGTGCGCTAACTGCTCAAACCTCAAGGAGGTAGGAGTGTTCCAGACTTCCAGACCTCGTGCTGGAAATCTGCTCAGCATGTCGACCAAGCAGCCCGAGTACAGGTGATGAGTTCTGACCATCAGCTCGATTTGCGGATTAGGCGTCTCGGGATTCCGTGTTGGCAGCTCCTTGATCACCGGTCACATGTCACACGTTCGCAGCTTGCATGCCTCATGTCAAACCGACAGCACAGCAGCAAGCGCAAACACAGGCAGTTACCGCCTGGAAAGAGTCGAGGCCTCAGGTTCGTGGGCATTTCAAATCAATTCCCACTTCTACCTCATATCCGTACTACTTCTACTTATCACTTTAGCGCGCCAGTCCCGACCTTGGCTTCGCCAAGGCCAACGGCTTGAACAAAGCTTTGGTACACACCAAAGGTGCAATTCCCGATTCAAACAGGATTTTAAACGAGGTCACTAGTCACCTCCGGGATACGCTTGACTGCTTGCACTCCTCAAGGAGGGCAAACAATGTGCATCATTTTCGCGAATTAGAAAAACCTATACCATCCTATACCTCGAGGTTTGCTTTCAACGGGCGTGTCATTGGTCAGAGCCCTGCGAACAGGGGGCGTGCAGATCCGGATTTCCTTGCGACATGAAACCGCACCTCCACCACAGTGGCTGCCTCCTGTCCACTGATTTAGCGTGCCCTAGGTCCCACGCTGCCAGAAGCTGGCACTTTGAACTTGGCCTTGGTTCAGACCACAATCTTGATGCGCATGTGCCCGGTTAAACGACATCAGCATATCTAAGCCTCCTGCTGGACTCCTGCCGGTTCGAGGTCCAGCGGGATGCAGGTGGGCTCGTCGGGAAATGTGTCGCAAGTCGACTCGGAGCATCAATGTTGGGCTGTTGGAGCGCGGCTCTTTATGGGCAGGTTGGAGAACAGTCGGACTGCTTGTCCAAGCTGCGATGGTCGATAAAGTCGATCGCAAATCGACGTCCGGCACATCCATAGTCTTGTATCGCAAGATGCCCGGCTTGGCGAGCTGCAGTTCCAAATCTTCTTTGACCTCATTAAGCAAAGGCACCGCGCGGCTCTTCCGATTTTCAAAACCTTCGCTCGATATGAGGCAAGAAACTTTCTGATAGTGGTCAAGAACTTCAGGTGCACCTGGTATAATTAGGCAAAGTGCCCGTGCCAATGTGAGCATTCAACAAGCTTGCATTCACTTGCTTGTGGGTCCGTATGCCGTGACCTCCTCTTGCAATACGGCTGGACAAGCTTGCAATCTGGCGCTGGATCATCTTCTTCTCTGCGTCACAATTCCCCGGCTCAGCAGGCATGGTAATCATTTCGTAGTCGTCGGCCACTGGATCGTAGCCACGATACTTGCAGGCCGCAGGCTCTCGACGAGACAAGTTGCCCTGCCAGTGACGCATGATTCTCAGTTGGCACGGGTCCGAGGGCGTCCGAAACAGAAACGCTACGAGGAAGCATGTGTGAGTCGCTGAGAACATCACAAAGGACACATCGGCTCCCTTAGACAACTGGAAAACTGTGTCCTCGGCATCGTTGGGCGAGAATGAAAGTTCGAGGTCGTCCTTCTGAAACAAGTCATGCAGATCGCGGCACAGCGTGAAGAACATGGCAATAAAATTGAGGCAAACGCCGAGGCTATCTGCCTAGAGCGGTGAGACCTGGTTCGAGCCGAAGTCGAGTATCAATGCGCCATGCCATTAGTTTTTTTCACAGGGGACTCGACGGCTGCCCGTACTGCCCAGCTCGACCCACAATACAGTACTCATGACTAGCATAACTTTCCCAAGTTCCCCCCAAGCCCTTCATGCATCTTCATGCGTGATGACAATGTCACTTATTCATGGCCGTGCTGCAGCGTCAGAAGCCTGCAATATTCCGCAATCAAGCCCTGAGCAAAACCCCAGACTGTTACAGCATCTTGCATCAGAGGCCAACGACTTGTCGTGGACAGCCGCGTGCTGCCCACTCCATCTAAAGGTCAACGACTTCGGATGCGGTTGGGCGTATCGTGACACTTCCTGGGGAGTGTCTGGTGTGTAGAGTGTAGTGTAGCATCAACGCAGGGGTCTACCGAAAGCTTTTTGCGCGTCGCTGGGGTCATCTCTCAGACCAGACCTCAATTAACTTGGCAAAGCCTTGAAAGAACATCTTCAAGCTCGGCCGGCAGAGGTGCTTCAGCCTCAAAATCATTTCCGTTTAGGTCTTTGCATTTGATTCGGTGGCAATGCAAGAAGAGACGTCCGCACCAAGGAACTGTGGAATGTTGCCTGGGCCGAGAAACACGGCTTGCCACAAAATGGCCCATGCACATGTCTGCATATCTCTTGCTTCCTAAATGTGTTGCAGCCGGAGCTCTTCCTTCCATAAGTCAAATCACCGACAATCGGTGCACCGATGCTGGCCATGTGAACCTGGTCATCGTGATAGTCAATTTATTCGGCAAAATGATGATTCTCTCAATGATTCTGGAAGCATTCCAGGCTAAAGCAAACAGCAACAGTAGAACCATAGCAGTCTTACCTCACACTCTGCACGGCGCGATACCACAACTCCCTCAATACTCTTTTGTGCGGTTCAAGGTGCACGTATTTGATGTGTTCGACCAGTTCTCGGGCGAGCGGACAGGAGGGACAGGACCGGGTCAGTTGCGGCATCCAGCCGATACCTAGCCAGCACCTCCAGGACAAGGCGCAAAAAGCATGCAAAAACTGAGCAAACATGCAACAAACATGCAGACATGCTTCTTGTTTACATGCTCCGCCCTGTCGAGCTCGGATTGGGACCGGATGTGAGAATGCAATCTGTCTGCGAATCTGTCTCAGCCGCACTGCCAACATGCCTTCACACGACTGTTGTTCGATGCTCAAAAGGCCAGCACGCCACCTGGTATTCGGTCTTCGCCTCACGGCCCAGGCTGGAGATTTCAGTCCGGAGCTGATCTCCTTGGGAGCACCACGGATCCCTCAACTGTGCAGACTTCTCGCGAGAGTCGTGTCCATCAGTTTTGAGGCTTCAGGCCGGGTCAGCCCCCAACATACAGCAAACGGGCAAAGGTTCTGGTTCGGTGTGATGCATCTCCTCTTTTCTTCTGCTGGCCTGGTCTGCAAGGTCTGCAGCTGTGTCATGCACCGGGACAATTGTCTGTGCCTGCCCCGTCGTATAGCTAGAGACCCAACTGCAGGCAGACCCGCTTGAACACATCGCACAGCGGTAGCAATCAGTAACAGCAACCAAACAGCTAGCTAGCCAATAGTTCGTCTATTGAGCTTCCCCAAATGATGGATTGCTGATAATTGCTCTATACCGCCTCCTTTCGCCCGCGCTGCGATTCGGGGTTGGGCCTTTCTCCTTTCCTCCTTCCTTTTAAGGCGTTCTGGGCTCAAAGGTGGTGGTATGCCCCCTCTCCCGCGCTCCCCAAAAAGCTGAGGCTCCTTTTTTGAGGGTGTGCAAGGGAGCATCAATCCGGGCGCAGTAACCAGCGGCTCCAAGAGGAGGGCCCTCAACCAGGCAGAGGTATTCCTGCAGCGATCACTCCAAGCTTGTGTCGATCCCTTGAAATCCTGGCACCACGAAAGGGTTCGATGAACCCAGGGGTCCTTGCGCACCATTCGACCTGCAAATTGAGCTTGTAACCAGTTGGCTGCAGCAGAGTCTTCTGATCCGAGAGCGACAGGAAGCACGCCTGCTGCAAAACAGCATGGCCGTACTTCTCGTATTTGTCTTACCCCTTGCCGACGGTCGATGAGCAAACGGCATGTCAAGGCAACCTCCCTGCTAGAAGATTTCAAGAAGACTGACATGACAATTCTGCTCACAGCTTAACCGAACCAAGCCCTTCCAGTGGCCACCCTTCGGGGATGAACGAGGCCTGATGTCGGATGGTCCAGCCGGGAAACCAGAGTCAGCTCGCATCCAAGTGATTCAGCCAAGCTTTCGGCCAAGTCCTCGGTCCTGGAGGTATTCCCCAGTTTACAAACAATTATAATAATAAGAAGAAGTCCTGCCATGGCCAATGGAAGTCGCTTGCAGCAGAGACGTTTCATGCCGTCTCCCAGCCGAGTTCATGCCCTACGCTTCTACCGCTACAGCCATACGATACTGGCTGTTCGGGCTGCCCGGATTTGATGACCCAAAAGATCCCAGAAGTCATGCTATGCCGAGTGCCATGACATTTCTTCTTCGGCCGTTCAGGTCCCATTTCGGGACGGGCTCGGTGCAGTGCAGCAGTGTCCTCTCGCCGCTTGGCTTTGCGGCGGCCACGATGCCAGGACCAAAGCCAACCACAGCGGCGAGATCTGCTGGGTGCAGCGCGCAGGCTGCCTGCGGACCTAGGCATGCTTTTGATCGACTGCAGTCCCTGGGATTGCTGTTGGAGGGGTGCACACCGGCACACTGGCTTTCGAGAATTGTTCCATCTTGGCGCAGGTCACAAGCTTCGCATGGGATGCTTGCGCAGGCTCAGGCTCCCACACTGCTCGGTCCACAGTTCCCGAAGCTCTGCCAAAACATCCTGGAATTGGAGGACTGGGGGCCGACTATCAAGGACCAGAAACAAGTTCTGGCTTCAGCGCCGCTCAATGCACATTGCCAATGCTACGTTCAAATCCTTGGAATGCTCCAGCCGTTTGCGACCTGTTCGCGCAGTCCGAGCCATGGGCTTCCTAAGGCTACACTCAGGTCTCAAAGGACTGTCCTACAGATATGAAAGGATCGACTTGTATATACCACATCGCGGGCATGACCCCGGCAAGGAATTTAGACGATTTAGAGCATCTTCTTTGCATACGGCGCAGGCCCTGAGGCCATCAAAAGGCGGCGTTGGGCGCCATTCTGCAGACCACGCGACTGTAAGAGCCAGATTGTACTCTTCATGTCCAGACCTGTGGAAAACCCCGAAACATGAAAAACATGTTTTGGGACCCAGTGTCGAGGGCCGCGTCTTCGCCCATGCCTTGTTGTACAGCACCTGCCAGTGACCCGGCGATCATTCCTGTGGGCATCAGTCGCTGCGACCTCCGCTTCAGTGAAGTCCAAAGGGTCTACAGTTCAAGCAAAATTGCGGGGTAATTCTTCCACACGCTTATATACCTGGCCCGCCCTGGACATGAAACCGGAAAGGCAAACATGTTGTGCCAGCCACATGTGGCATTTTGCAACCTCCCCTGGCGATCATAGTGCTGAGGAATGAACTGGTGAATCTGGACTTCTTTGTTGAATCCGTACTCGTACTGACGTGCTTTCGGCGAATCTGGACTTCATCGAACCAAGGAAGGGCGAGAATCAGTGCTACTTAAGCGATGAGCTCATGGCAAGCACATCAAGAGCTTGATCGTAAAGGTGCCCCACATGGCAGCAAGTGCGCTGCCGTTGCTTGCCTTGCAACCTTGCTCAGCAGCGTGAATCCTGCGGCGGGGCGTGCCGCCCCCGCCCTAGCATCGACGTGCCCTCGTTACACACTCAGTGGGAACATCAAGGAAATCAATGATGTATGTTAAGCTTCTGCGCAGCATCTCTGCTGAGCCCCCAGTGTTACCCTTGCATGCCGCGTTGAAACCCGTTTGCTACTAAGCTCGGTGACAGCTTGCAAGCTTCCATTAAGTAGTGCCGGGATGCTTCACTTGGTGAAGCAAAGTCAATGAAGAGGTCCACGCTCCGGCAGAGGCAGAGTCACAGGCGCTCATTGCTGCCCCATAGCTTGCTAAAGTAGGTTGCAATGCCTCCTTCGACATCCTTGGGTGGGCATGATTCACAGGGACAAACACTCATACTAGGATTCCGCACTCAGCATATGCCTCAAGATGTCCCAAGCGTCTGAGACAGCATCAGCAACACCAGCTGCCAATGCCCAGCCTTGTCAAGGGCACTCAGGGCACTGGTGTAGCAAATCCTGAGCCACGAGCGATCACGAACACACGACTAGAAGATTTTCAGCAAGCTATGTGGCCGTTCGTCAACGTCCGACGTCATTCAACGAACCTACTGCAATGACTCGATCTTTCTCCAACTCTCGCCGCGAATGATCTTCAAAGACGATTCTCAGGACCGGAGGTCCGGTTCTATGCAAAGAAAGGCTGAAAGGAGTTCCACAATCCACAGGGCCCTGTGTTGGGGGCTGCCAATGACATGAAAGTAAGCCGGAGCTCGTATTTCTTCTGGTGCTCGCGGCAGGCATGTCGTCCAGGAGGGTCAATGCCAGTATCCACTGATGCCCCTGCGCGCAAGCGCTGATGGCCTTTTTTGCAATGGCAAACTGATCCAGACAAAACTGTTTTGAAATACCAGCAGAAGTGGCTTTACATGATTGTGTGTAGCTACACATGAATCACAAGGGAGCCGATCATCCAAGCAGGCCAGCACATCAAGCTTTTTACAGCGGCAACTGGAACTAATTGGTACAGCTTGAGTGTCAGCACCGTAGCTGACAGCATCAGCATGCAGTGTCCACTTTCCCAGCTTCCGGAAGAAGCCCAAGGCAAGTTGCCACTGACCGCCTTGCAACACGGCAGCACTACGTAGGTGGACCGACACCAATGCTTGCCTGTTTCCCACGAGTCTGTACGTGATGTGCCTTTGTCACATGCGCTGATTGCCGCGTTGCAGCATACTTTGTTTGGCCGCACAGTTGCCTGGAGCATGCCTGGAACTCGCACGAGCTTCTGGCTACGGTTGAACGCCATCCACACTTACTTGCTTTTCGTCTGCAGTATGAGGGGTTTTCACGAAGTGCAATAAAGAAGCTGCCAGATTGACCGAGGCTCTGTCCAGAAGGCGCAGGGCCTCCTCCCACATGGCCCCCTCGCATGTACAGGCATTGATTGCGGCGCCACAGGCAAAAACGTCCTCAGTTCCATGCCTCTCCTCATAACAAGATCGAATACGATCCTTTGCTAAGGCACTAAGGCAGTGCAGCTCAGACTCAATTTGCAAGGTCTCGGCTTGCATTTGCGCGAACAAAGCGAAAGCTCGCTGCCATTCCCCAGTGGCACCACAAGCACTGATCAGCGAGCTGTACAACACCGCGTTCGGCTGAAGCAAGAACTGGCCTCAGGTTCTTGACGGTTGGATCGGTTTGGGTGGGTCCTCTGAGATTGACATGTCGAGCACTTCCTGGGCCTTCCTTGGCGTGTCTCCTCACGGTAATGAAGGGCAAGCGGCGCATGCTGCTACAAATCGCCAAAGCTTGCTCCCAATATCCATGTGCACCGCAGGCATGCGCAGCCGACGAGAACGAAATCACGTCAGGGAGTAGTTGTTGCTTCTGCATCCTGCCGATGCATGGTGCCTACTTTTCCTACAGTATCGACTCAGTAGTACCAATAAGCACATTGCCTCAAACATTCATGCCATGCAGTCTCCTGGCGAACACGGACAGGGAATTCTGCCAGGAGTCGGTGGCACAGGCCGCGATTGTGGCAGTGTAGCTTATCCCATCAGGTGGTGCCTGCCCATCTTGGAGCTCTGTACTATGCATCGAAGATGGGTTTAGCGCACGGACAGCTGCGCACAGTGTACTTGCATCTGTCCTTGATGTCTTGCAGCAGGTTCAGCAAGGTCACCATGTGCTGCCAACGGTTGCCTTGCAGTGCTGCACAAGCTCTGAGGAACGGCTTGCCCCGATCAGACTCTTTGCGCTTATCCGGAACCGTCACTGGCTTCGAGGGGAAGGCTGATAAAATTGTCGATGAGATACAACATCGGCAAGCTCTGAAACTCATACCACGTCATGACACTGTTTGCGCAAACGCCATTGCTTGCCACCTTGCTCAGACAACCTTCGGGTAGCACATGGCAGCACGGCAGAATCGGAAACCGGGCACGCCGCTTGGTGCAGCAATTCGATAACCCTCTCCTTCCACATACCCGGTCCCAACGTTGCCTTCACAAACCAGCCCCAGGGGCCCTGATCTTCAACACCTCCGACGCCACAAATTCCCTGCCCTCATGTCGAATACGCGGACAAGACCAACAGGAAATAGTCTCGGTTCACATCTATGTTGATGCTCCAGGCTTCCAAGCTGCTCCTTTTGCAGGCATTGAGGGCAGATCCGCAACTGATGCCGGAGGGAAGCATCTGTGGCGCGGACAGGGCGATGTGGCGATATGAGAGCCCAAAGTGTTGAGGATATGACCGGTGGGCTCGGGTTCACACTTCATCTTGAAGCGTAGCTATTGCTCAGGTGTGATGTTATGGGTTAGCTTCTAGTGGTAGCAGTTCACGCGAGTCGTCATGTCGATGCAACATGAATGAGTCGCAGACACGATTGCCTCACGCTCGATCATCCCGAGGAGGAGCGCGACAGCTTCTTTCCAGCATGTGCTCTTCTCACATGCACGGATGGCAGAAGAAAAACCTCGAATCACGAAGCCAAACCGCAACTACATGATTATCGGTCTTTCCTGCTGTGTGCAGTTGCTATGCAGCCAGTCGGCTGATGGAATCTGGCGACACGGGCATGTGGGCCAGGACGTGCACTGCCAGCTGCCAGCTGGAACTTCCAAGGCACGTGGTGATCAAAGAGTTGTAGTTGACCACATCCTCCGGAATCATGGTGTCATCGTATCGGAGATTTGCTTTTTGGGACGGAGAGTCTGCGAAAAAACTATGCAGCTGGGCCACGGGTGTGACGGGAGGCATCATCATGCTTACAATGTTGAGGGCTAGCTGCCAATTGCGATTCGTTGCATAGTCCAGTAATGCTGCATTGTATATAGTCCTCAGTCACGCCCAGCACACCAGGATTCAGGGTTCTGATCCATCCCTGTTTTAACAAGCCCTTCAAAGTGCTACAGTAATTGCTCGGTCACACCACCGAGAAACTTGTCCGCCGCCAGTTGGCGAGTTGGCAAACCGGCAACGAGTGCAAGCACTTGCCGCCACAGACTTATTCTCTGCAAGGCAGAGAGCAATAGGTTTGCAGCTGTTCGCGAAATCGGAGGCCTTGGTGCCGGGATGCTTATATATTTTTTTGGCAACAGTGTAACAGCATATGGGATCCGAGGCACGCCGTGCCAAGCGCATTATGCCACAGCAGCACCGCCTCTTGCCAGCGGCATCGCCGCACATTCGCCTGGATCGCCTGCAGCATTTGTCAACAGGTGCTTCTGCGCTTCAGTCGCAGGAATGAAGACATGGGGAATCCTGCAGTAAGGGGGTATTAGCATTTACTGCGAGTCCCCTGCAGCGTGGGCACCCATACGATCAGCTGTCACTAGCACGGAATTGTCACAGAATTCTACGGATTCTTTTCAGCAGTGGGTGTTTCGAAACTGTCCAAGCCATTCGGAAGGGAGGATGAGCAGTCTCAACCAGATCCAAGCAACAGCTGTGGAAGCCGAAGCTGTGGCCAACGACGGGTGGAACTGAGAAGACATTCTTGAGAAATGGCTCACTCGGTCACCCGACTTGTTTCACATGCCTGTGCACCATGCGAAGCTCACAAACCCGAAGAGCTGATGCATCCACACAGAAATCGAACCGTCTGCATTTGCTTAATTTTGCGTTGGCGGAGAATCTCGTCTCGGCACCATTCGCACTGATGCCCGGTCGCCAATCTGCACAATCATTCTCTGACGTACGTCGCGTCATCAGCGGGCTTCTAAAGCCCCTTTAGCATGCTCCCCGAAAGGAAGAAAGCCGAGAGAAATGTCTCAGCAGCCGATGAAGCCATCCCAGTGCAAACGCTGGTCCGTGTCTCCGAACAAGCTCTTTCGGCCCGGCCCATCCTGGCCGACGAACCTCGTCTCGAAAATCTGGCTGTCAAGTCAGCGAGGGTAACCGACATCCACAATCCGAGGTGTGTGGGCCACTCCTTACCTGAGCACATAGCCGACGGCTGCCGTTCCAGACTTGAGCTTGTCGTGCAGGTTTACCGATCTTCGTCTCTCATCTCGCGGGGGCGGGATGTAATGAGATGCCGGAGATGCCTGCAGTGACTGCAGTGTCCACCACGGCTTCTCCTCTGTCTGCGTTGGAGACGTGCTATCCAGTATCATCCAGTCGCTTGGGCCTGAGGTTCGCGACAGACCTCAATACAAAGCCAAGCGCAGTTGAAGGATGCAGACTCATCTCGCAGCTGCTAACCGCTGAGCTGATGGTCCAAGAGTTGGCACGCAGTGTCTGGCCGTGCATTTGCTGAAGGGTCTGCAATGCGCCACCCCAGCTGAACCCCAGACTGCAAGCATCCAGCACTGTACCGCAGCTGACCTTGTCAGCTGCCAGCTTGCTGTGGTTGAGATGACTGAAAATCCTTGTCTGCAGACAACAGCAAGAATGAAACAGACTGACAGGATGTGCGCGGGGACAAACTGAGCGCAGGACATCAGACTTGATAGCCACGATGCAGGGCAGCTGGAGTGGCAAGCGGCGTTGTATGTCACAAGGTCTGGAAGTAGCTGATTCCGCAACACTGCCGAAAAGCATTCCAGGCCCTGTGTCCAACTCGGCTCACATGCGCTGATGGACGAGTTGTAGGAGATGATGTCCTTGCGAGTCCTGCGTCACACTGGATCAGCAAAGGAATATGAACACTTCTCGGTCCGAAAGGGATGCATCGGCAACAGTGTCGAAAGTCAAGGCTACGACCATGAGCTTCCCCTGCCTTTGTACCTAACACCCCGTCGTACAGGTTGCATGTCCAGGGACACAATTCAACTCTGAATAGCATGCGCCGCACTTTGAGAAATCTGTCCGCAGCTCTGGCCAGCTGCGCAGAATCCAAAGAGCTTGAGGCCACTGCAAGCACCGCTCACATGAACTCAGTACCTTAACGCGGGCCGCCCCAACGTGAACAAGCCAACGCTCTGGAATCAGGGTAACGAGGCAGACTCTTCCAAGCTACTGTATTCAAGGAGATTGAGCCTCGGTGATGCAGGGGAACACGTGCAGCCGTGCAGCAAAGCATGGAGGGGACATGCGGCTGTTCCACTGAGAGAACGTGCCAGGTGGCTAGGGCGAACAGTGTTTGGCAAGAGCCCGGCGATGAGATTTAACACCTCCTCCCAGTGCCGTTGGCAGGCACAAGCAGCCTGAGCCAAAGCTTTAAGCCATCACCTGTTCGGTTCTGCTGCTATCGAGATCCCTGGTATGGCACAGCGTTATGCGGCGCCAAGGCCAAGGTGCCGAGTTCATGCCGATGACATCCAGTGACTCGTGCCGATGACTTTGGTCCGCTATAGACAGGGCCATTTGCCACGCTTCGTCGCTGGAGCAGGTGCTGAGAGCGGAATTGCAACTGAGCCGGTCCTGATTCTGATCACAGATGGGGGGACGTCTGGCAAGAGACACGCACACACTAAGGAGTACGCGCTTAGCCGCATAGCTGTGGAGTTTGCTTGCAAGTCATGGCTCAGGGGCTGTATCCTCGGCCCGCATAGTCTCCAGAATAGCGACTGAGGATGTCCAGTTGTGGCCACGGGAGGCATCAACGGAATTGAAAGACACAGTGCTGGGCTCCAAGGCCTTGCTGGACAATGCCTGCAGTGCTGTCGGAAGTCTCGTCAACTGCTGCAAGCACTGGAGAAGGCGCAAGTTTAAAGAATCCCCCCCGTCTCGCCTGGCCTCCAGCAAAGCAAAGGCATCACTCCACTTCGCCGTTTCTGGCAGCGTGGAAATCGCCACGTTAAAGCCTTGACTCGGCGCAAAGCTAGCAGCTAGCAGAACGATTGACCTACTGAAAGTGCTCGCGCGGCTTGCGAGCCCTCTGCATCAGCAGTGCGTGTTCCTCCAGGCCAACATCTAAAACCTTCTGCACCAAGGCTGAAACTCCTGGCAGTCAACTCGGTGAGGCGAAGAGCCATGCATTCGAGCAGCCTGTAGACCTGGGCCAAGGAGCGCTTCATCGAACAGCGCTTTGCTGCAATTGCTAGTCCAGGCCTCTCTCCAACATCGATCCGCAGCGCATGCGCTGGCTGCCGAGTGGTAGGCAATCTGGTGGCAGCGGATCTCCCAGTCCATCATCCCATGCAGAATGTGCAACCTGGCTGCGGCCAAAGAGTCTGAAAACTCAATGTCACAAGTGTCGATCTCTCCCCACGGCGGCATGCGCATCGAGGACGCCTTGCTCTCGGCTTGCCGTCGGTCCTCTCCACATGGAGTCGTGGGCCGGCTGGCTGGCCAGTTGTGACATGCCACTGGTACCCCTCTTATCGTCCTGTACGTGTTACCCCTTGCACGGATCTGCACTCTGGTTGCCCACCGTCTGTCGAACCAAGAGCTGATGAGATTGCACGCCCTTATGCTTCTATTGCTTTTATTTCACAGAAAGGCTTCTCGATGCGATCCAATTTGAAAGCCCGAACGCAGCTTGCATTGATGGTTTCGTACTGTTGACAGATTCGCATGAGGCTCGTTTCTGTCCGTCCTACTGTCCAGTCGCCTCTGGCATGCCGTACGCGACACTTGACTCACGAGATACAGTAGCCTTGCTGAACGAGCGCGGTGTTCCGCTTTCTCCCTCGCATGGGTTTCATTGATAGTCGTGGCGATATTATATTATATTATATTATATAATATTATATTATACTATATGTAATTATATGATATGATATGATATTCTATTCTATTATATGATATGATATTATATTCTCTTTCTTCCTCCCCCCCCCCTGCTTTAGCTGACCAGGCCGCGCTGCGGGTGCAAGCAGTGCCGACCTTGCGTAATTTTTTTTCGCGTCCATGGACCGAGCTTCTACAGCTCACAAGAGACCGCTCCAATTATGTGGAATGACAAACTTTTGATCGCGACAGCTGAAACTCGCCATGGATCCCTTTGCAGCTCATCAGCGACCTCTGCTTCCCTATTCCCAGTGCAGGCCAGCAACGCACTCTTCCACAATCTGGAGCAAGTGAAAGCATCCGTGGCGGTTCCCACTGTGCTTGCGTCTGGCTGCATGGCCAGAGATTTCCTGTCAAGCAGCAGGCGATGCTTGTGCTTGAGGCTGCAGGTGTTTTAGGTTGAATACACAAATTGGTGTTCAACCATTGCAGCACTAGTCTTAATCCCACGTGTGCGCAGCAGTTGAACCACGACTCGCATGCAAGGCTTCCGAGTACCAGGCTGGGCCATGAGAATGTGAAGGGTCGCTGGCCAGAGCGCGACTTTTCCATACGTGGATGCCAGAGCGTTCTGACAAATCCTTGGGCGAACAATCTTTTGGCATCAGGACTTGTGCAATCGCCTGAAGGTCTGAGCATACAAAGGTTCAGCTCTCATGAATGCACTTCTACACCTTGCTCCAAAAACCTTGCGGGGAGCACATGGGCGAACAAGCCGAAACATGGAACTCATATGTCAAAACCCTGGTTGCAACAGCCCGCCCTGCCAGTCATCTGACCTTTGTACCTGCCATGTCGCCACGCACCAGTAAGTTCACAACATGGCCGCTGAAACCTGCATACGCCTATGTAGTGGCTATGAAAAGGGTGTGGGCGGTACAAACAAGTGATATTGGCACATACTCCACACTCTTGTCGCCAGAGACCGACACAAAAGTACACATGCACATGTCGAAACCACGGCCACGGAAGCTCATGTAGCCCGACAAAAGGCAACGGCTTGGATGTACGGGTCAGCAGCCGAGCCCGCAGGGCTGAAACGATGGGGTAATTTGCAGCTCAGACGGCACCCAGAGTGGAAACGATGTCAGAGCTTAAAGTCAATAACACGTCATGTCTGCACCGAATCTCACAGACTCACTCATGCACGTGCTCACTAGCACACTGCCTTTCCCTTGTTCTTCTTCCCGGCCTCGCAGGGTTACCCGTCGGTGGCAACCCCCCTTGACCTTGACGCCGCAAACGGGGTTCTCTTGACTATACAGCGTAGGCGGCACTGCCTTGGCTCTCCTCTTCGATCCTTTTGGCGCAGCCCTCCCCGACCAATGTGCGGTGCCAGGAATCACACTGGGTGGTAAAGCACGGCTCCCAACAGCCAGCACAAGAGACCGCTGCCACTGAAGACCTGCATGGACGAGCAGAACTAAAGCTTCAAAGCGTATCCAGGACTAAAGCCTCTTGGGACTCGGCCTTGCTGCAGCGCGGCTGCAACCGATGTCATGATGATAGAGTTGGAGCGAAGGCCACAGAGTAGCAATGCATCGCTCAAAGCCAAGGCATGGTGCCAGCCGTGCTTCATGCTTGCAACAGCAGCACCATGGCCTTTGAAGGCGATGTGCTCTAGGACTTTTAGACGGTCATGCCAGCTGCCGCATGGCAAACTTCCGAGGGACGAGCTGATGGCTGTGGCTTCGACCGATGCAGCACGAAAGTTCTTGAGCACCGCCCACGCTGACGACCAGGCCGCGACAGAGGCGCATGCCGAAATAACGATGTTGCGGTGTATCACATTCGCCTGCACGAGAGAGTGGCCAATTCAGTGCACAAGAAATGTGTGGTTCTGCCATCGCTTCAACGGAAAAGGCCTCAATTGTGTTGCGCAGCATGTTTTGCAAGCCAGAAATGGCAGCCCAAGCTCCTGCACAGAACTGCTGGGGGCAGTTTTAGATTCAGGCTTGCAAGGCCTGGGTCATGTAACGGCCTTGCATCTTGATGTGGCTTCGCAGCCATCGGGTTGCTTCGCGACCATCAGCGCCATCGCAGCTGAAATTGGGCAGTGACTCCCCACCGAGAGCTGCCGGCATGGCGAGTGGTTGAAGCGTTGGGAGCAACCCCAAAGAAAAAGTGCGGTACCTGCCAATGTTCGCAGAATTTAACTTCGCACTTTCCAGGTCATTCCTAACAGCTTGGGACTCAGATGTCCGAAGGCTGATAAACTTGACTGCCTGTTTAAGTCTGAGGATCGGCAGCTCGCAAGCAGGATACTACATCTTGCATGCTTCCATAAAAGCTGGTGGATATCATTCAAGTCAAGCATCGCGGAGTCACAACAACGTGTTGACGGGTCTTAGCTTTTTCTGAGTCATTCCTGTCTGATGTGCGCTTCAAGCGTGGCCGGCAATGGTTGCACAAGCTGGCCTTTTCTTATGAGGAGCATGTTCTGGCATGCGCAAGTGTTCGACACTATCTCCCAGGTCATTGTCGCAGACCGCCTGGGCCATGGCACTTTGGCTCTTGGAGCAAAAGCCCGTCACATCAGCTGGAAAATCTCCACCATCAAATACATTTACAGTTTCAACAACATGCTTTTCGCATCTTAGTTTGATGTTGTAGCATAGCATCAGGATGTGCACTGCAGCTGCTGCTACATCATCATTGACGTCACAGAGCATGTGCACTGCTTGGGCTGACTCTTCACTCGATGGATGACAACCGTTCACCGCACGACCCCGAGTCTTCGGTCCGAAATCGCCAACTTTCTCAGTCTCCTTCTCTGCCAACCAACAGCACATCCATATCTTTGCGTAACTACCCCGGCCGGGTCGGCAGCTCTACAAAGTATGTAGTGCTACATTGCTACATGTTGTCCCAGCTTCCTAGACTCGGGCTCATGCCCAGGTTCTTGAGTCGAGGCCTGCGGATTTGCGCCTCGACTTTGTTGCCCCACGCACTTGGCAATTCGGGCAGCAGGTATGCAGGTGCAGACAGGCTTCTCCCACAAACGAAAAAATGTCAACGTAAATGCAAAAAGCTTGCCGAAGCGGGAAGAGACGATATGAAAGCCTGTCTGCAGTGAAACAAGAGAGGCAGTTCGAAGCATGCCTACAAGCGCGACGACTGTGTCAAAGGCCCAGGGCCCTGCCCACAATGTGCACTTGAGACGTGAACAAAGAGTAGCTGCAGGTCGCATCGGGTCGCACTTCGTTTGCTGTTCAGGCCAAAACAGTGTAATTCTTTTACTCAACGATTTGCTACTGGATGTGTCCAGTTATGCGCGGATAGGCTGCAGCCCCACACGCGCGGGTTCTACATCGCCGAGTCTTTAGCACCGGCGCGAGCCAAAAACTGGAAAGTGTCTGTAGCTACGCAGGTGCAACGCTTGCAAAGCAAGCATTGTAGCATCTGCCTAACCTTTTGCTGGCATTTTGCAAAGCGCAAGCCCTCTTTGGGGGCTTGTCGCCTCGGCAAAGCGGCGGGTCCGTCTGAAAGACATGGCAACATGACGAAATGCTCGCCAAGTGGCACAGGTTCAACTGCGAGCTTCATGCTTGCGCAGGTTCGGCATCATCACCTTCCCACTTCACAAACTTGTCGTCGTGCCAGAAGCCGACCTCTCATGTGGTCACGCGATGCTCTGTCCGGTTCCTCACTGCCCCGATGCTCTCAAGATGTCGAAAAGGAGTGCACGCCCTTATCATGTCCAGGTACGTACCGCTCCAAGGATGGGTTGCTATTTATCTGGTCCTGATGTTCCTACAAGCTCTGTTTCGTTTCGGTGCCTCCATGTGCTGCCTTCCAACAAAGCGTGGGTTCTCGCGCTATTCTCGAATCTCGCCTTCTGTTGGCCACGTGCCCCAAGTGGACAAGCAATGGGCTGCTGTGACTGCAAACACCCAACTCCGGCTTTTGAAGTTTGAGCACACTCAGACTTGCCCATGCAGCACTCGTGACACAACACTCTCGCATTCCCAGCTGGTTGCGCCAAACAGCCGCATTGGATGGGAGGGGGGGAGCAACAAACATGACCCACCTCGAAACAGGGAGCCTACTTCGGCACTGAGAGAGACCCGGCCTTCTGCTTTCCAGTCGACCTGAGGTCTCAGGGGTTCGGAACTCCAATAGACTTTGTGCTGATGAACCGGGCTAGGCTGCACCGTACGTCGCCCCACTGCACTACAAGGTAGGCTACATACATCACAAGGTTATCATGCAGGTCATAGATACCTTTCGAAGGCGTTTGCAACGTTGAGGAGGGCGCGTGATGAAGGTAGCTTTTCCATGTCGCTTTCCGTTCTGCCATCCGCCCTCATAAACCTGAGGCGACACGAAGCTATGGCGATCATGGGGACGAGCTGCCGTATGTTATTATTAAGCAGGGATGCGTTTCCATTTGGCCACGTGAACTTTCCCGAGCCGTGCTTAGCATCGTCCAAGTAGTCTCCTGTGCCACGGCGTGTCGCTTTTGCAACTTCATGCACCTTTCGGGACGTGGCATTCTGCAGACTGAAACTTGCATACTGCGCTTGGCTATAGGCCAGTTTGTCCGGTCACAATCATTTTCAAGCGGCTTCACAAGCTGTCGGTCCTTCGTAGATCATAGTTCCCTACCAGGGGGGTGTCATAGATGAAAGAACATCGCTGAAAGTTCGACTTGGGTGAAGCTTTCTTTCTCAACATGCCCCGTCACCCGCCTTGTCTGTCCTCCAGACCTCCAGCACCAGGGCACTAGCATCCATCAAGGCAGGACTGCTTGCTGACTGGGGACGGTCGACACTCTCAAACTCAAACTTTAGGTTATGCTGTATCGCTGCATGTCAAGAGGCCATCTTTCCCTTTCCGGAGAAACGTCCGTTCCTGTCTTCAAGCCCATTTCTCACGAGATCATGCTTCCGGAACTAATTGCTAAGACTCGACTTGTATCTGACAACATAACAGCCAGTGCGTGCCAAGTCTCACATACTGACCTTCGTATGATCGTCCATCACTCCATGTGTGCTTGCCATCTCCATTCTGCTTGTCCTAGCTTGCTGCACAGGCAGATGCTGCATGCCCGAGTCACAAAATGCCAACCATCAAGCGCTTGGTGCCCGACATCTTTCCACTGGCCTTCGTACCTGCAGCAAATCTCCATCAAGCTTGTTTGTGCGAGGTTCCTGTGCGATGCACGTGCGTGCTCGACTTGCTTCACAGGTTCTCAAAGAAAATTGGACACAACTCAGCACCAGGCGTCTCGGTGGGACTTTTGTACGTTCCTCGGAAGCATCTAACTGCAACTAGTTGCTGCTCGCGGTCATACGTCACTGGTACCATGAACAAGTGCATAAGCTGCTTCCTGACGTCTACCAATGTTGGCTTTAGTGGTGCTGTTGACTAGGAGCGAGCAAACACAGACTTCAAGCAAAGCTGCAACACCTGTGAATGGGCATGTCCGTATGCCAATTATGCAGAACCATATATAGCTATATATAGCTATGCGCGGATATACTGCTGAATGTTATCCTTTTGAACCGCCCCCGCCCCAGGTAATTACCTGCCAATGTGCTGTCGTGCGCTACATCAAACCTCATTTCGTTTTGCAGGAGGATATTGGAATGGCTTTTGGTGCCCACGGAGGGCTGCACAGACTGCTTGGGCAGGCAACTCTGACGAGCCGAACTCCGCTCCAGTAGTCCGCTCCTAAACCAACTCCCAAACAGCACCCCGCTTGAACCTACCAGAACATGAGAGGCTCTAACATCACTAATGGTGCTACTTCCAGGTGCGAAACAGAGCCGATGGCGCTTGTGGATTAGTTCAATCACTCGCTTACTCGCTCATGCATGGTCTTACCGGCCCGAAAGTCTACTCCACAAATTGAGAAACACAACATGAACATGTTCGGCCTTGTCAAACTGTGCTCTGAAAAGTGGACCTGTGCAAACATTCGAAGTAGTCGGCCAGTTGGTTGCAACAGGCTGGAACCCTTTCTGGGCCATGGCGATGACTTGCATAGACTGAACCGTCGTTTTGTAATTCTCATTTTCGCGCGCAAACATTCCACCTGCAAATGTTGCATGATGGTGAAAGAGATGCCTACGACACAGGTCATGCAACAAAACCGATCTGTTCGAAGATCGACACTGGCCCATACTGCCCCCCGGCAACGCCCGCCCTTCCATGACGGGGATTTTTCGCGACAGTGGCCGCTCTTAGGCTGGCGATCTTGGCATCAACCCACCGACAGGCGGGGAAAGGGTATCCCACCATGGGACCGGGAGAACAGCTCACGCCCACATACAGGAAAGGACATTGATCAACCCAAACCACAGCCCACCCAACCACCGGGGGGGGGTGCAGGACTTACGAAGATAACCAAGCCAGCTGTACGAACAGCTATGCCGTGGAGCATGTTTTATCAAACAGCAAAAAACCTAACACGCAGTCTGGGCCAGGCATGTAAAATGCAGGAAGTTGACATCGGCAAACCCTCAGCTCAGTTCTTACCGGCAAACATCACCGAAGGTTTGTCCAAGCCATGGTGCTGATCGTCGCGATTGCTTTCGCTATAGTTAACAGTTGCCCGGTTGCGGCTGTTGCGGTAGCTCTCCACCGTTTCTATCATCACGGAAGCGAAGCGGTTGTTCAAAGCTGATGCAAGCCGCAACGAAAGCTATTGGCCGTTTGTGCTGCAAAAAAAAGATTCCGCTTCCGGAACTGACGGTGTGGGTAACGTGCAACCGAGAAGCCATGTCCATCACGCTTCCCATCCACAACTCCTCCTGCCAAGAGTCGTGGCGAGTGAAGAGATGTGAAAATTCAACATCCAAAATCTTGCAACAATCGACCCGCAAACTGTTCGGATGTGTATGAAGCCATGTAGGCCATGTGCCTGTGTAGGACGCGTCGTCTTTGAAGTTCAATGTTGCCTTAGATGCCCCCATGGAGGACTGACGGACATTGGCGACAATGCCTGGTGCCTCATGGCCACCACTAGTGCTCAGACAGGGCA